TTTGATTGAAAAACAAGAAATCATCTCGTGGCGTCATCTTTATTTACGCGCAATCCCTAATTACCGTGCAGAAGGATACAACATAGTGTATTTGGATGAATCATGGGTAAATATCGGGCGCAGTGTGCAAAAAGAATGGGTTGATAAAACAATTACATCTCATCGCGATGCTTTTGTTCCTGGTCTGACAAAAGGATTAAAAGCTCCAACAGCTCGTAGTGCACGGTTCGTTTTATTGCACGCAGTATCTACCAGTGGATTTGTTGATGGAGCAGAGCTCACGTTTTTGGCAAAGAAAAATACTCAGGACTACCACGACGAAATGGATGGACCGAACTTCGAAGATTGGTTCGAAAATAACTTAATGCTAAATTTGCCAGAAAAAACTGTTGTGATAATGGACGATACCTCCTATCACAACAGAAAGTCAGAACAAATTCCCAACAGTTCAATTATAAAAAAAAGATATTCAAGAATGGCTTCTGCCAAGAAAGGACCTATTTTTTTAAGAAGACTACCTAAAGTGCGAGTTACTTGATGTAGTCAAGGCCTTCAAAGCAAAATATGACAGGTACATAATAGAAGATATTGCCAAAAAGCACAATGTGAAGATTCTGAGGCTCCTACCCTATCACTGTGAACTCAATCCCATCGAAATGGTTTGGAGTGAACTGAAACGGTATATAGCTGGACGCAACGCGAATTTTAAAGAAGCTGAAATAAGAAATTTAATTACAGCAGCGTACCAGCTCATTACGCCAGAGAAATGGAAAAACTACGTAAACCACGTAATAGCAACAGAAAAAAAAATGTGAGAAATTGACAATTTCTTGGATGATATCGAACCAATTATTATAAATATGAATAACGGAGATAGCGATGACAGTGACGATAATAATGATGATGATGATAGTTAAGCAGAAACTAAATATGACAGTGATTGACAGAAAAGGGAACTAAATATAATGTTATTTACTATTACGATTACTTACACACGAAATTAATTACAATGACTTCTTTTATTTTCAACTCATTTATTAGTTTTATTTTCGGATATTTCTATATTTTGTTACTGCCAACATATACAGTGCGTTTTTTAAAAGTCCTTCCCCCCTTAACTTTTGAACGGAACAATACATAAACACAATGTTTCTTTATATTTTAGTTTTATTTTATTCGATTTTATTTAAATCTATAAACAAATGGTTTGTATCGCTGGCACATACTGTAGAATTAAAAACAAACTACTTGTGTGACATAAATAAAAGGCATTTCTTAATTTCTATTTTATTTTAATTTAACTCAAGTATGTTGTAGCAAATATTATTTATGTTTGAGAACCACTGACAGAAGGAAGCCAGGCAGGGTCGTTAGTGGGCATTAGTTTGGGGTGCCCTCAACACAAAAGATGGATTAGGCTAAGTAGTAAGAAGTGACGTTTATTTGAATACAAGTTTGCAAAGAAGTATGGCATCGATGTTTTGCATTTACTCTGTACAGACTGGTCACTTTGAGACAATTTATAGCACTGTGTATGCTTCTATATTGATTTGAATTTCTATTCTAATTATGAATTTTTCCATTCGTACATTCTTTATACATCATATACTTTTTAATAAATTTAGTTATTTTTACCTGCCAGGATTTTTTTAATATTTGGTGTTGGTAGTTCAGATTTCTTTCCTAGGTAGCTTAGTTACCCTGCCGGACAAACAGTGTGACTTGTCGTCCTAGCTTCTTATGTAGATAGATAGCTTTCTTATCGCGGGCTAAGGACGAAAGCGTAGATCGTGTAGAGGTATGATAAAATAAAATCGACTGAAACGCAATAAAACAACTGTAACGACTGTAACCAAAATAAATTAAATTAAAATAAAATAAAATTAAAGCCATCGCTCGGTTCGTAGACGATAAGAAAGCCGTGCTTTCATTCATCGGTCACTCTCAGAATGCCACATCTCGATAAAAACAACTTTTTTATTTACACTTTTTCACGTAACGCCTCAAAATTTATGCGAAAATTTTAAATCACCCAGTTTTTGGTTTTATATTTTTATCTTTTTTATCTTTTCACCCTATGTTGATTTAATGTCGAAAAAGCACCCAATTTTCAATCGAAAATTATCACGATAAAATATCTGCTTTTTTTAAGGCTATGCTTTTTTTTGCTAAAATCTCTATTTTTTAACTATGTAAATGCGTTTCGATTTAATTTGAGTCTCTTACCACTCCCTGACACGTGTTTCTGGGTTTACCCGTCATCAGAGAGAGTTTGCATGAAGACTCAAACCAAATCAAACCGCACCGACTACTAAGACAATTATAGGAAAAATAATTACCAGAATATGCTACTAGAGACCTCTAGTGAGGAAACATAAAGTTATCGATATCGATAAACATATCGATAGCAATTAAAGTAAACTGTATACCCAAGCTTAATCAAGCCATTCAGAGCGATGCTGAGAATATTAAAATTCCACTATACATCAACATTATATGGGTAAATTGTTGATACATAGTGGAATTTTAATATTCTCAGCATCGCTCTGAATGGCTTGATTAAGCTTGGGTATACAGTTTACTTTAATTGCTATCGATATTTAACTTCATGTTTCCTCACTAGAGGTCTCTAGTAGCATACTCTGGTAATTATTTTTCCTATAATTGCCTTAGTAGTCGGTGCGTTTTGATTTGGTTTGAGTCTTCTTGCAAACTCTCTCTGATGACGGGTAAACCCAGAAACACGTGTCAGGGAGTGGTAAGAGACTCAAATTAAATCGAAACGCAACCGTCATTTATTTTGTTATATATATATATATATATATATATATATATATATATATATATATATATATATATATATATATATATATATAGAAAAGAAAAGAAAAGAAATTTAATCTTTGCAGATAAGTTAAATAGTAAACTCTTAAATATTGGGGAAATCTGCAAGAAAAACTCTATCAGTTGTTTCGCCGAACGTTTTCGCCAAAGAGAATTAATTTGGCTTCTTCAGGGCTGAAAGAGAATAAATTATAATTAGCTACCATATATTATCTATTAAAAAGCATTATTTATCTTACCGTAACTTTTAGAAATGTCGAGTTAGTATGTTAAAAAACTTAGCTAGTTACAACATAGTGGTGTTTTTTGTTACTATGTACAAAAAAAGTTTTTTTTAACGTTGGAAATGTATGGTAGCTTTGAACTTAAAACGCAAAGGTTTACCCAAGGTTAATCGAAAAACAAAATGTAACTACATTTAAAAGGAAGTAATTCTTTGAATTGTCGGCAATAACTAAATTTTTGATTGTTATAAAGTGTGAATGTGAGGTTCTGTTTTCTCGGAACGCATGTGTAGACAATTACAAGTAGTTCTTTTAAATCTTTATGTCGTTAAGTTCATTGGTAAAACCGATGAAGTTAAATCCCAGTTTGGGGAGAATTTATTAGAATATTATTAGATACCTTAACTACCACTCTTACCATAATAATTCTACCAAAGTCAACGTAATCAAACAGATGAAAAATAGAGTAATAAAACTATCAGATACTTCATTTCATACAAAAAACCTACAAATCCTACAGAAACTTTTTATTTCAAACGCTTATCCAACACCATTAGTAAATAAGATTTTGTTTAACACTATCCATATCGAAGATACTTTATCTTCCATCGTGACTAACAATGCTGATCCTGATGTCTTAAGTGGGAACCCAGTCTCGGATACCCCTATCAACAAATATTTTTCATTACCATATTTCAGAGATATCACTCCGGGGTTAACAAGGATTCTGAAAAGTGTTGAAAATAGCTTTGGTAATAATAATAATATTAAACTTAATGTGGCTTGTAGATCAGCCCTAACAATTAATAATCTTTATTCGAAGATAAAAGATATGACTCCCATAGATAGGCTTAGTAACATTGTCTACAACATTCCATGCCTCTCTTACAGCAATTCCTACATCGGCCAAACATCTCAATTATTGAAATCACGTATTACACTACACAAAAGTGATTCTCGACTTCACCCTGACCGCTGTGCGTTAGCCAAACATGTCCATTCCACTGGTCATCTCAGGGACTATACTAACACTACAATTCTCCACCGTGAGAGCAATAAATCTAAAAGAGAGTTCATTGAAATGTCGTATATTTTCCTTAACGATTTCTCCATCAATGTTAAGAGTGACATTAGGAATCTAAGCGATATATACCACTTCTTACTTAAATCAGATACCAAGAACAATATAATCTCACAGATAACTAACTTGACTGATATATATATATATATATATATATATATATATATATATTATATATATATATATATATATATATATATTAACAACTAACCTACTTTAATAATAATATTCATCAACTGAAAAAGATAATATTCATAACATAATAAGATAATAATAACATAAAAAGAATTTCAATTAACAAAATTCTAAAATAATATCTCCCCAAACTGGGATTTAACTTCATCGGTTTTACCAATGAACTTAACGACATAAAGATTTAAAAGAACTACTTGTAATTGTCTACACATGCGTTCTGAGAAAACAGAACCTCACATTCACACTTTATAACAATCAAAAATTTAGTTATTGCCGACAATTCAAAGAATTACTTCCTTTTAAATGTAGTTACATTGGGTTTTTCGATTAACCTTGGATAAACCTTTGCGTTTTAAGTTTAAAGCTACCATACATTTCCAACGTTTAAAAAGAAATTTTTTTGCAGATAGTAACAAAAAACACCACTATGTTGTTACTAGCTAAGTTTTTTAACATCCTAACTCGACATTTCTAAAAGTTACGGTAAGATAAATAACGCTTTTTAATAGATAATATATGGTAGCTAATTATAATTTATTCTCTTTCAGCCCTGAAGAAGATAAATTTATATATATATATATATATATATATATATATATATAAAGTCAAAACGTTAAGAAAATTTAGATTTTTAACAATTTTATTTCTATTTTTAGCATAAGAGAATATCGACTCTGGTACCATACATGGTCTTATCAATCATTGCATTAGTGGTTTCAACAGTGATCGTTAGCGATCTACATTGGGAAGAACATGTTTCAATCAACAGGGGATTTGTAATATTTTTTAGCGGCCTAGTATTTTTTCCATCCTTGTATCTTGCTCTAGTTAATACTTTTCTATACACCAACTCAGGAAGAAGGATTATCAAGACTTATAAATTAAACTATAGTGATGTCTATGACATTAGTAACAAGTAAGTACAATATATAAATTATTCCTTAATTATTGGTAACAGAAACATGCAGCTTGTTTTATAATTAAAAGTTTGTTAAAATCTGGTCTGAATGGAGGAACATCTTAGACCAAGACCCATAAAATGTAGGCAAGCCGATGATGATGGTGAAAAATTAAATAGATTATTACTGCATATCAAAATAAGTTGCAGTTATCAATCAATTTACCACCGCTAAATTGCATCGATCCTAGTATAAAATTCCTTTGTGCACGGTTTTTTATTAGGTTTTTTAGCAAAGACAATTTAACTGTGGCAGAAAGCTGACCTTGTCGCTATATCAACTTGGTGGAATCAACACATTGAAAAACAAATAGAGAAAAGAAAGAAAAACCAGAACTATCTACGCTCGCAAGCGATAACCGACAAAATAAAATGTAAATAACCCCAAGTTAAAGCTAGAAAGAAAAAAGTACGAAGACTAAAAACTAGAGAATACCAAAAACATTAGAAAATAATAAATGAAAACGGAGAAGAATTTTAAAATAATAAACACACTAACGACAGAATCGAAGGATCTCACCTCGGAAATTTAAAAAGAATAAGTGAAATGCTCCAAGCTCTAACACAATGTAGAATAGATCACCGATACATATCCCTCATCAGATACATCTATCAGCATGCTAAAGCCTGTGTAAGACTTAATGAAGATACTGGGACCTTTCGTATTGAAAGAGGCGTTCGGCAAGGGGACAACATGTCTCCTAAATTATTTACAACTTTGCTAGAATACGGTTGTAAAACAATAGATTGGAACGAAAAGGACATCAGTGTATTTTTCAAAACACAATTTATGACAAATTTGAAAGATGAAGGATATTTTTAGGTCCAAGATTCCAATGTGTCTGAAAAGAAAAGTATTTAATCAGTGTATTTTGCCAGTGATGACCAACGGCGCAGAAACCCTAACACTCACAAGAACAACAGTGGGTAAACTAGAAGTTGCGGAAAGGGCAATGGAGAGAATAATGTTAGGGATTTCTCTACGTGATAGAATACCCAATGCTACTATACGCAAAAGATCAGGAGTAGCAGACGTTATTGAAAGGATAACAACACTAAAGTGGAATATAAGCTAACAGAAATAGAGGTCGACCCCCAACGAGATGGACAGATGACATAAAAAGAGTGACTACAAATTGGATTCAGATGGCGCAAAATCGGACTAAGTGGAAAAGCATGCGAGAGGCATGCTCAGCAGTGGACGTTAGAGGCTAGGTGATGATGATAAACAAAAAACAAAATTTGTTTAATTTACTAATATTTGTATTTTGAGAACGATTTCCGAAGTGGAAATTGAAACGTCGATAAACTTGCTTTAACCTTTAATTGTGGCTTATTCCCATTTAAATAATAATTACTTTAAAATGCCACAAGAGAATAGCTTCAGAACAATACAAAGTAGAGGTGACAGAACTACTCCTTGTGGACAGCCTCCACCTGCTCTTGCTTTGATGGTTGCTTTACCCAGAGTGGATATTACTATTCTATTTTCCAAGCATGCCCTTATCCATCTGCATATTAACGTAAGCGTGCCTCGTTTACTCATTGCTGTAACCAAAGAGTTGGTGGTAACATTATTAAATTAAATATCTAAAAAAGCGGTCTTTTATTGACTTTGAAATAAGCCTATTTGGATCATCCAACGCTGAGTCCGTAGATTTACTAGGTTCGTATTCATATTGACGATTGCTTAGAGGATTATCTTTTAGCACTTCGTCTCTTATGTACCTATAATATATCTATTATACTATAGCTCTGAGATTGGCTTTGTAAGCCGAAATTGCGCAGCTAAGAATTAAATATTTTACACCCTTTTAAAATACCTTTCTCCTTCATGCAAATATTTAAGAGTTCATATATATTTTTATGATTTCAAAAACATAAATAAGATTTACAAGTTTTTTACAATATATGCAGGTTTTTGTATATATCAATATATCATAAATTAATTGTAGTAATCATATTCTTGATTAAACAGGGCTACGTGTTAAAAATGGGATCAACAGTGACGAATTTGACGTACTTACTGGAGTCAGACAGGGATGCGTGCTTTCTCCGTTTCTTTTTAACATAGCTCTAGACTATGTTCTCTCCAAACTAGACTCTGACACAAGAGGGATACAATGGACGCTAACCACACGCCTAAGCGATCTAGAATACGCCGACGATATCTGCCTGTTAGGACAAAGGTTCCAAGATGTGGCTGACCAATTGGAAACACTTTCCACTGAAGCCAATAAAATAGGTTTGAAAATCAATATTGGTAAAACCAAATCCATGAGAATAAATGCAAGAAACAACACGCTATTCACCATTAATAACATGCAGATTGAAAATGTGGAAAACTTTACGTATCTTGGAAGTGTCATAACAGAAAGCGGAGGTACAGAAGACGATATTCGTGTGAGGATACGAAAAGCGCAACAAGCTTTCAGCATGCTCAACCCTGTTTGGAGGTCTGGAGAATACACTACGAGGACAAAGATCCGCATATTCCAGTCAAATGTCATGTCTGTACTACTTTACGGATGTGAAACCTGGAAAGCGACAAAAACCCTTACAGACAAACTGCAGGTCTTTGTTAATAAATGTCTACGAAGAATTGTTCGTATTTTCTGGCCTAACATCATCAGAAACGAAGATTTACTACACCTGACCAAACAAAAGAGGGTAGTAAATGAAATAAAGTCCAGAAAGTGGGGTTGGATCGGTCACACACTCCGAAAAAAAAAACTCCAGTATTGCAAAGACTGCCCTAGAGTGGAATCCCCAAGGAAAACGGAAAAAGGTCGCCCAGTACAAACTTGGAGAAGATCCATCATGGACGAGATAAGAAAACAAGGAAAGTCTTGGAATGAGGTGAAGGCCTTAGCGCAAAATAGAACCCGATGGCGCGTTTTCACTGAAGCTCTATGCTCCACTTAGGAGTTCAAGAACCTTGAACTCCTATAGAAGAATATATATATATATATATATATATATATATATATATATATATATACGTGTTAAAATATTGTTTGAGTATTGCTAACGTGTCCTTTTATCACATTTATGGAAAATAATATGAATTTAAAATGTCGTTAACACGTTATGTAATATGTAATAAATTACAAAATTGATTTAGAATGCCTACAAATGAATTAGCACAGAGATATATCTAACACGTTTAATGTTTAATTAAGTATGGTCAGTTGAACGTATTATACTTCAACAGGCAATATCAATATGCAGTATGGAAGTGGTTGAAGAAGATCCAGCACGTCTTTAGATAATCTTTGAATTTTTTGGTAACACAAAGCAGGTAGTCCAGATTAATACCCAGGGAATAAAAAACATGTTTAACCTAAATGGTTTATATTCTACGACATTCATTAATGCATCTTCAGGCATCTTCATTAATTTAATTTGCTAAGTAGAAAAATTACTCCATGTCCGAGGTTAACGGTCCAAATTTGAAAGGCGAAACTGGAAAACCTACCCCATATTCGAGGTTAACGATGAAGTCCTCATTTGAAAGGCGAAACTGGGTAAGAGACAATGGTCTCTAGAAAATTTACGAAATTATCCGTTTGGTGATAAGTCAAGAATTTGTTTTTTCGATTTAGATGCATGATGCATGGAGGGAGCCGAGCCAACGATATTTAGAAGAAAACATGGATCGTATGGTAGCATTCGGACGTGGTTCAATCTCTGTTTGGGAACAATAAGGTTTGATAGTAACATTGAGATTGTAATTTTGCGAATACAAAGAATATACAAAGATACAGGGATATTTGGATATTATATCCATTATTGCGCAATTATGTCAACACATCCGAGATTTTTTTTTGATACTCCATAATGCCTTGACTCACCGTTTTCAGGTTGTTAATGAAATATTAAAAGAAATTCAGATAATAAATTGGCCTGCACGTTATATGCATATGATTCCTATAGAACATGTTTGTGCTTATTTCTTCTTCTTTTGGCATCATAATCCTGGATAAGTCTGTGCTTGTGAGGCTATATCTTTGGATTTAGACTTGTCTTGTACCCTTCTCCTCCGTTGTCTTACATTTATATTTTTCAGGTCATCTTCCACGTCATTTATCCATCTCGTTCTGGGTCTTCCTTTGTTTGGTCTTCCTATCGTCTTCCATTGTAACATTTCTTTGTTGCTTTTATATCTTCCTGGCTCTGGACATGTCCTAGCAATGACAGCTTTTGACTTTTTACAAATCGTACAATATGATGCCCTTAATTCAGTTCAATAATCTCATAGTTTTTTCTGATTCTTCAAGTGTTGTCCCCATCTTGCACGGAATCTTTGGAATTATTTACGAAGACGAATTAGACAACTACATGCAACAATAGCCACATCAGCGTAATTGGCCAATATTTTACTGAGGGAGTGGATTGCAATCTCTAGATTTTGTGTAAAACTTTATAATGAACATGTCTCTCATATGTCAAGTTGTATATAAGAACTGGGGTAGCCCCCATACGTTATTAACCTCTAAAATTAAAGATTATAATTACATAGGTACCACAATTATAAAAAAAACAGAAATTCCTGTTACTTAGATTTATTTTTTATTATAATAAGTATATTATTATTTTGTTAAATGTTGTTTCCATAAAAAGAACAATACTTAATTATTATTTAATAAAACAATGGGTGTCTTTAAATGATGCAGCAATTTTAATTTTAAAATCCACAAGGAAACTAAATTCCTGGGTTGGCTGTATACCGTGTATTACAAAAATTTTATTTAAAAATTCCTTTATAAAAGGTATAATAATAAAAACCCTATCGGGCTACATCACAGAACGTTTTCAGAATAACTATTCGATCGTCAGTGCTATCTGGACGTACATGTTTGAAACAACTAAATATATGGGTAAAACCCTTTAAATGTTTGTAGGGTGTTAAAAATTGGGGACAGAAATTATTGGGGTAGAGATAGGGGAAGCAAAATAAACAAAACTGTTTCGAACGACTCTGAGGGTTTATTTGGAGAAATGGGTCGTGGATCAGTGAATGAAACAATGAGATTGGATTGGGGCAACTACAAAAATGAAATAAAGTGGTACTTACATGAGTCTCCTGGACAAACAAAATACAAGAAGGTTCCGAAGCTATTTAAATTAAGGACGCCGCTTTGAACAATCTTCCTGCTGGATGAAAGAAACGGTTCTTCCTTCCTAAAAACACAAAAACGGGTTTAGACTATTTTTAAAATAAATAAACAAAACGGTTTAGGAAAAAAAGTTACACATTTATTATTGTCCCACCACAAACAGTTACAAATATAGATAATACAAAAAATTACAAAATATCAAAAACAGACTTACTATGTCCTATCCGTTTACAAGCTCTCGAAATTGGAGATACTACAAAACTTATCATTGTTAATGAGCGATAATTTGTAGCAGAAATAAATTATTACAAATAAAAAAAAATATCTTTTTAAATGAAACTATGCATAGAGGTTAACTTTTTTTAAAAACAAAAGCAAAATCTCAAATATGATTAGGTATTTACCAAATGTCAAAAATAGTGTTAACTGTCATATGTCAATACTAAATCTTAAAACTGAGAACAATTAAAATGACAGCTAAGCCACACTCCAAGAACTACAATTTTACTTATTACAATTTCTTAAATTGTTAAGAAAGCAATTATTATTCGAATATGTTTATCTTTAAAATATCAACACAAAAAGTTACCTGAATTTCATCCAAATTTTAACATTTCATCTACAAATTGTGAAACAGTATTCTGACACAGCTTCTTAGGACAAAACAAATTGAAGCTGAAATTGGGGCACTGGGCGCAAAATTTGAAGCTCCGCTTCTTAAAAAACTGGAACACATGTGGGTACTTTTCAAAGTTGTTGTAAACGCCGTTTTACAAATATCTCAGATGAGAGACGGCTTACAAATAAATAAACAGTGATTACTCCTATCAAAACTGACACATTACATTGAGTATAAATCACCTTTTTTCATATAATTCTTAAAAATCATTCGCTTCCCCGCATAATCTTCTCAGCGATCTAAGTGGATGTTTATTTGAAACGCAATATTACGCGAAAAACGATCAAAGAAAATACCAAAGAATATACGTCTGTGATATATTAACAAACTGTAAAATGTGTTTATATCAACTCGGCGACGCAAGAGGAATTTAAATAATTCCACGATATTTTAACATATACGAGGGGATTTCACTATATACCAAAGAATTTAAAAATGCTACAACGTTGGGTTATATTTTTGATAATTAAAAACTTTGATGTTTAAGTTACAACTGAGTTGCTGTCAACAAGTTCTCACAGACACTTCGTCTAAGTACTAGCAACGTCAGTGCAGTCTTACGTCGTCATGTAATCAATTCTATATATCGCATAAATTATTGCTTTTTTATCCGATGCTGCACCATATATGGTCAAGACAGGACAAAGTTTAAGAATATTTTTTATTAACTTTATACACACTACTTGTTTAGCACATGGCATGAACAGAGTTGCAGAAGAAATTAGAGAAAAAGTTTCCTTTTGTAAACTCCCTGATATTAAGCATAAAAAAGTATTCCTCAAATCTCTTATAAGAATTGAACTTTATAAAGAAATGCTTCCAAATATTTCACTTCCACGAGAACCCGTTCTAACACGATAGGGAACATGGTTGGAAGCAGCTTTTTTCTATTCAGACTATTTTGTAGATTTAAAAAATATAATTGACGTTTTAACACATCAAAGTTCCCAATCTCTGCTAAAAACAACGTTCTTCAGCAGTAACTTTCATTCGCTTAATAAAATTTTAGTTTGGTTTAAAAAACTATTACTCAATTAGAATCGCCAAAGTTGTCCTTAATAGAAAGCATAGTCTTAATAAAATAAATTAGATCAGCTTTTCAAAATGTTATAGATAACATTGGAAAAGATATTTTTGAAAAATTTGAAACAATTCAAAAAAACAGTTTCACAAACAATTCACTTTTCAAAAACTTAGTGAAGTAGCTAACGTTCTTGTTGGTAATTTTTGGGAAGAAATAGATTTAGAACAAAATTGTTTGTGAATTTAAAATATGCTCCCATTACATCCGTTGATGTGGAAAGAAGTTTCTTAATTTACAAATATATGTACACAAATAGAAGTCATAAGTTTTGGAAATTTTTGAAAACCATTTGGTCATTTATTGTTTCCATAATTCTAAGGAATAATATATCTTTCTTTATTCTGGTCCAGTAGAATACTATATATGCCTGGCCTTCTTCATTTACATTTTGATTCGTTACCCTGATGGTGATGTTTTCTGAGTATCTTTCTGCAATTGTCGCGTCTCTCAGCTTTTCCACATTCCTTGTATTTCATTTACTGGTTTTGAAATTCTAGCCCTCAATGTTGAGATCATTATACAATGATCTGAGTTTATGTTTTATTACGTCTGTTGTACGCCTTGAATCTATTAAGATGTGATCAATCTGAATCGTTCTTTATCAGTCGTAATCCGTTATCGTTACTGATTTGTAGAATTTGCATTCTATAGTGAGCATGAAAACTGGCTCTCGTCCTATTCTGGCATTTATGTCACCAAACAATCTTAGTGTCATTTCTGTGACATCTTCTGTAGGTTTGCTCTAGGTTTTTGAACAACTGTTCTTTTATTTTATCTGGTTTGTCATCAATCGGGGCTTGTGCATTGATCAAACTGTAATTGAATAATTTCTCTTTTAAACTCAAATAGCACATTCTTTGATTGTAGGCTTTAAAGTCAATAATAATAAGGCCTTTTGTTATTTGGTTTACAATAAATCCCATCCATCTAAGTGTTCACTCTCAATGCAGCTATAATATATGAAATGGGTTCTCTTGTCAAGAGTGCCAGTTCCCGTACGCCGCATTTCCTGTAATATTAAAACATCTACTTTGTACGTGTTCACTATGTCTAGCAAAGATGAAAGATGTAAGTGCTCCAGCTCGGTACAAGATTCCGAGGTATTCCATTTTCCTGATTTCAATTCCATTTTTCGTTCCATCCAGCTAATAGTTCCTGAGGTTCCGTAACATATGCTTTTTTATAGGAAGAGGTTGTTGGCACCCTAACTTGGAGGACCAGGGACTCTTTTTTTAGGGTTCCTACACCTTAGTCTGTTTTGGTTCGCGATAGTATTTTAGTTCCTACCTACCCGCCCCTAGGACCGGTTAGGGCGTTCCCCTATTCACTACCTAGGGATGCGTTCTAAATATTTCCAAATAATATTTAAATCACAAAATACATAATATGAAATTATCGCATAACAATTTCGCAACTGTTCTAACATTAAAAGACTAAATCAAGAGGTCTCTCCTTGGATATTAATATATATATATATATATATATATATATATATATATATATAATATATATATATATATATATATATATAAATTATAAAAGATACAAATGCTTTACAAATTTTCTCACTTGATTGATTGGTTATTTATTTTCAGGCATGTTTCAGCCGTACAAGCGTTATTTTGTTGCATTACGGGCATTACAGCCGTTTGTTACAGTTGTAACCGTAATGTACTTAGAACATCTCACTACATTTCAGAGGCTTACGCTTGGTTCGGCGCCGCATATTTTTTCTATGACATTTGGTCCATGTACAAGGTCTATAGTGCGAAACTTAGTAGTGATCATATGAACGGAGATTTGAAAGAAAAGAAAAAGATGTTTCTAAACGTTTCCAAGTGGATTAGGTATTTAAAGAATAATTTTGTTATTGTTGGGCATCACATATTTATAGGCTGTTTTGGATTTTTAGTTATAACGGTAAGCTATCTTATTTTCTTAGCATGTCAACATTTTTAATTTATATTATATACAAAAGGTATTTATAAAATCTATAAAATTCATCGTATATGCTTGATACGTAGTGTAGTACAAACTCCCTTGATAGGCAATTAATTTTGAAGAACCTGCAGCGTTATGGTTTATTGTTATTTTCTTTTAATAGCAATGGTTTAAAAAATATATTACACTAATAACTTTTAATTATTTATTCACTGATTAAATATTTTGATTTGTAAAAATTAACCATTTTATTTAAATGACCACTTTCACCGTCAGAATGTCCGTTACTGATGTGATACAAATCCTTGTTTGCTTCGTGAAGGCCACACACAATTTCCGGAAAAGTTGGGTATATTGGGTAATAATCTCTTTGGAATCATATTAATTGAAAATTTAAATGACGAAAAATACTTGAATATGTTGGAGAATAAAATAACAGCTGCACTAACCGATATAATCTCAAATCAATCACAAGGTTTTCACCAAGACATCATTTTTCAGCAGGACTGTGCTTCGTCTCATTATGCACGCAATAAAACAAACGTTTTCGGACCACACAGTCCATCATCAGGTTTTAAAATCGAAAAATGCCTAAAAATAAGTATAAACCATTTAGTTAAAACAAACGAGATTGTGAAATTTTGACTATGGTTGAAAAGCAAAAGATGGTTATACTTACTAGGTCACAATGCCTGAGCCACCAAAATACTAGGGTAAAAACCCTTTAAATTACATTTAGTTATGAAAGATTGTACATTGTGTTGTAAAATAACTGTGATGTTCAGTATTAAATTAAATTTGACTAGAGGTAACACATGGCTCAATCGAGTTCCAGAGCCGGTGAGAGAGAACCTCTACACTCGGAGAACAGCTGGGAACTGATTGACAAGATACTTTGAAGGATGACGATAACAGAATGTCAATGCAACAAAAACTATAATAGTTGTACATAGTATTACTACAGCCAAAAGATTCAACAAGTTTTGATGATTTTAAAAAATAACAACAATCTAGGTGTTGGGATTTAAAAACTTTTTTATTTATTAATTTAGGGTATAAAAGATGTGAAATCAATGATGGTTTTATAGTCATGATTAATAGAATGACCTGTGCCTTAGGCAACTTATGTTGCTTTTCGTCGTATGGAATGTGGTCTAAAGTGTATTTAATGTTGGGTTAGCTTATATATATGAAATTTATCCTTTTATGTTTAACACATCTAGGACAAGGTAAAAATTAAATAACAAATATTTGAAGCTAATATCAGACCTCATATTTAAATGACTTTATTTAAGACTGCTCCTATGGTGAAAAATTAATAAAATTAAGTTTAGTAAGATGGAAATCTACAGGCTGAAGAAATTAAAGTAGTAACCTATGTGATTGAATTTAAAATTGAAGAGGCTGGGTTCCTCAGAGACTAATGAGAATAAAAGTAAAGGAAATGACTGAAGAAAAGGAGGGGGGGCGGTTGAAGGAGAAAAGGAGTTAATCAACAATTAGAGATAATAGGGGTCCTTTATACTTAAAGTATCTAGCACCCTGAACAAAATCTATTTTGGTGGTATTAAATTCAGTTTGTAGAAACCTGAAATTTGTTGTATAAGTGTGCTACTAAGTTGTTGACCGAGAGAAGGTGGACAATGGTAGATAAGGATTCTTTGTAATATGGTAGATTATGAATTTTAATAAATTGTTAGATAATGTTTGAGTGATTACTAAATTAAAACTATTGGATACATGTTTAATATATGAATTGACCAAGAAATAATGAAAGAGAACAGAATTGACAGGAATGTGATGTAGAAGTGAAGAGTGGATAAGATAGTGATATGTTGGTATGATGGATGTGGATGGTTCTGAAGTTAACATTGGGGTCGAAAATTTTGTGAGAGGAAGGTGTGGCGATATTGTAGAGAATGGGTGTTTGAAAGAAACACAAAATTGGTAGGATTAAGGTGTTGACGTTTGTATAGGAAAATAAGGCAGAGAAAGTAGGGCAGTATTGTGAAGTGTGAACTATGAAAAAAGTTGACGATGTAAAGGTTGAAAGTCACGGTTGAAAGATACATGGCGATTAACGCAATTGGGGCTATTTTGTTTTTTCTTTGACTATTTCCAAGTCTTCATATAGATCTAATTTTAGAAAATTTTTTTGGGGAATATTATGTAACAAAGAGACATCTTCTGGGATGTTTGAGGTATGTTTTTATGTTGTGCAAGATGTTAGAGAGAAGGTGGAAGTGTTTCTCTTTTTTTAGTGTGTTCTAAGGAACGAGAAGTTTAGTGAATCTACAGGTTCTAACCTATATAATGATGGTAAGACGCTATGGGACGGAACTAGAAGTACAGATATACGACGTAGGTGCAAGGTAAAGAATATCAAGAACTGGGTTTTCTTTTATAGTACCTATCCGTTTCAGATGTGGGCCACCATCATGAAAATCTGTATTTTGCAAAGTGTTGCTCTGAAAGATTTGTCGTTTTTTTTTTGTGTTGAACCACGTACATAGATTTTTCAGCAAGAACTGGGTAAGAACTAGAAGAGTAGAGTGGAACGATCATATACGCCGAATGACAGCAAATAGACTAGTAAAGACGACAAGAAACGGTTCCCCAATAGGAAGACGATCAGTAGGAAGACCACAAAAACGATGGAACAACTTACTGAAGGCACATTGAAAAACAGACAGAATCATGTCTACATAAAAAGATGAAGAAGAAAAAGACTATAGTCCCATATAGAGTCCCATAGACTAGCAAATTAATGGCAGCGTTCTTTCAGGAAGGTAATTCTTCAATTTTTTGTGTGAAGTCGTACTACTTTAAAGACATTAGGAAAATACGTCAGAAAAGACATCAGGAAAATGTAAGGTGAAGTCTGAATCCAAACTTTATCGAGTTTTACCTACACTACGCTTACTAATAAAAGGCACATGTTATTGACCAATGATCAGATCAATATTCTATCTTAGCGTCAATGATAACCGTCTGCATTATATTCAGTATTTAAGTTACTGTTGCAAATTGACTGCGGTTTAGACGAGTTTACATTTGAATCTGAGGAATGAGTTAATTAGTTCCATAATAGCTAGTATTATTTTCGATCCTTTATCGGCGCCTCCATCCCGTTTCAACGCGTTTTCTGTTAATTGTGTCGAATTATTGGCCCAGAAAAAAGAAGGAGAATGTGACAGATTTGGTTGATATAGCTACTATAGGGTAAAACGAATGCAAAAGTTGATCCCAGTACAGAATATCCGGAGAATATAAGGAATCGTGTGAAAGCAAGTTAATCATATATTCAGCTAGAATTGTAGATTGTAATTGTAGATGGTAGAGTCATAGGCGCTCTTTAAAGAAAATAGATGAGATTTTTGTTCCAATATTATATTCTTATTATACCCAAATATTATCAAACGCTTGGCTAAATACAATCTGACCTTTTTTGCTATCTTTTTAGAGAGATAAGCAGCAATTTTAATTGGTTTTTACTACTTTTAAACCGTTGTTTAAAATCCGGTTATCATTGTTAACTATGGAGTGTATACAAGAATAATCCCATAAAATTATGATAATAAAACACTAAAAAAATTTTAGTATAAGTATTTGAGAAATACCATGCGGTCCATATGTATGGAATAAATTTATTTTTAGCGTTATTATGTACTATGTGAAAAAAATCTTAAACAGGTCGATTTTTATTTTTAAATTGACAATTTACAGTATGAAAATATTATACCCTTCTAGCACCCCCTTTGAATTATGAGCATCCCCTTGCAATTTTGAATAACAAAGGGAGTCGTGTGGCACCTTGTTAGAAAGGGATCTTAGTCTTCTGTTCAGCAATATACAGTTTTTTTTAGTTTGGTGCAATCATAACTGAGAAAATTGATTTTTAAGATGTAAAATTTTGATTACACAAAACATCTGTATCAGTCTGTATCACAAAACATTAGGTAAAATGAAGATAAAAATGTCAGCTAATATTTAGAATGTATTTTTCAATGTACTTTACAATTAAAATAAATGTTCAAAATTACCGCCATTCACTTCTTGGCAATAACTGAGACGATTTTGGAATTCTCGTACAATATTTTGTACAACCTCGGGGATTATTTTGTTAATTTCTTCCGTCATCCTAACTTTTAAATCAGCCATACTGTTTGGTCTATTAAAATATACTTTAAATTTTAAATAGCCGTATAAGAAGTAATTGAGAGGAGTCAAATCGGGGGATCTAGCCGGCCATGCGATCGTTCGACGTCTTCCAATCCACCTATTGGAAAAAATCTCGTTTAAATAATTTCTAACTATACGTGCAAAATGCGGTGGAACTCCGTCTTGTTGAACCCTCTCCTCTTGAACCAACTAAACTTTGTAAGGGTGGTATTTTTCTTTATGCAAAACTATCAAAATAGATGATTTACTTACATCATTGACGGCGGCAAGTTCTCGAGTTGTCTTATTCGGATTTTCCTCAATCTCTAGAAGTACATCTAACTTTCATTAGTAAATTTAACATTTCTACCTGGATTTTCATTCTTTTTTACATATTCAGTATAACGAAACATCTTTTCAATTTTGCGAACTGTAGACTGGGAAACTTGTTGACCAGGTTATTTATTATTAAACATTTCACAAACCTCATTTTGAGTTCTTGTTTTTTTATTACAACCAATCATAAGGAAAATGTCTATTCTTTGAGGCTCTGACAAATGAGCCATAATTAAATTTAATCCGCGCAAAAATATTATACTAACTTTAAATACCTAAATGACAGCAGCCTACTAGATTCATATCAATAGTTTATTTGGCTTTTTAACTAATATTTTATTATCTTCAAAGTTTTTTCCCTAATGTTTAGCAGAACAGCTACGAAAATACCTGATTATTTTTAAAGTGTATTTTAATAGACCAGGTAATACTGTTGATTTAAAAATTAGAATAATGGAAGAATTTAACAAAATAACCCCCTG